ATTGATGACAATTTTTGTTTCGAGATATACAAAATTAATGTATTTTAATTATATATTTCTGTTGATGAAAATTTTTTCTTTGTTGACATTTATCTTTTTATCATACTTCAATATTGCTTTATTTCTTGTGTGATACAACTTATTTTATGTCTGAAGTTCTGGTGTTTACAAACTTATATGATAGTGTATGATTAATTTTACATACACACATATATAGCATGATTATTATTTTTTTAAGGTATCTCAAATTAGAATCATTAATTGACAATTAAATTTAGTTAACTAATTGTTCAAAAATTAAATATTTAAATATTTAAAAAATAATGTTTTTGCTATGTTTATGCTATTGCATAAACATATCTTATAATCAAATTTTTATTCCAAAAATTTAAGATTAAGATAAAAATATAATTCCGAATGTTTTTAAAATTTTTACTTCTTTATTTTTCTTTTCTTTCCTCTCTCCTTCCTCTTTTTTTCTTCCTTTTTTTTAGAGAGTAGATTTCATTTGATTCTGGGAAGCATCAAATTTCATCATTGAAAATGGTACATAAAAAGAATATCTAATTAGACGATAAACATATGTCGCTGTTTCATCATATTGTTAGTTTGCGCATAAATATTAATTATGCAAACTAAGAAAAATATATTATAAAAGTTGAGAGCGCGCACGTGCGCCTGTTAAGACTGGATAGAGAAAAAAGTTTTCGCGTTTCAACTTAATGTCATATAGAGTTGAAGAAAATGTATCAGCCATTTTGTGATTAGAAAAACAAATTTTACAAATTTTTTACAAATTTGTTATTTTATTAACAATTTAACGTAAATATTAAATTAAAATTTTTAGTTTTATACATTTTTCTCATGTGATTTTATATTATATTTGACTAATAATTTATTTATTGTAAGTGCTTAATGATATTATACATACATATATATATATAAAGATCATAAACAATTTTTTTTTCACTTTAAAGAGGAATATATCAATATTAAGGAATAATTTATTTTATAAAATATAGGCATGATTAAAAGTAAAAATAGCCATATTTTTTTTATTTAAACTGATTATATTTAATATAATTATATTCACACACATATATTAGTTATATAAAATGTATATTTTGTATTTCAACATAACTAAAATTCCTTTGTCTTCCTAATTTTTACACAATAATAAGATTGTTATATATTATATATTCTCTTTTTTATTCTTAATGATACACCTTTGTAAAGATTATTTATATATTATGTTAAATATAAATTCTTTTTGCTTTAATTAATAAATATGTAATCATATTATATATATGTTCGTGTATATATATACATATACATATACATATACATATATGATATTAGATATATAATTCTTTTATTTAAATACAATTAAATTTTTTTCTTCCTAAGTTTTACATAATATGTAATATAATTACTTTTGATGTGTGATCGAGATTTACAACATTCTTTGTATATACATTATCCCGTTCTAAATCCGCAATAAAAAATATTTATTTTTATAATAGATTTCTTTTTTAATTAAAGATTGAGTGTGAATAATTATAATGCCGCAGGTAAAAGATTAATAAGCAGGATTTTATTATAAGCCAGATGATATTTGGTAAACAATTAAGAAAGTTGATAAACATAATATAACTATAATAATTTTTGAACTTCTAGAAATTATAGTGATTTATATACTATATAATGTCATATACAAAATTATATAGATCGATAAAAACTTATAAATAATAGAAATTATTACATAAATAAATCATCCTGTAATAATTAAACATACGAATGTGTTTCACCGGATATATGGATATGCGCAAATATACGGACGAGCTGTATATAAATTTTTTTTTAAATAACGGAAAAATATATAAAGCAACAAATTCATTTATTCATAATTTTACTTTTTAGTAAAAATAATCTTAATTTTAATTTTCTTTTTGTTTATGTTAAGTAAAATGTTTTGTAAGTCGAAAAACTTTTTACATCGATATAATATTATCTTCTATAATATAATCTTCTTTTTCTCATTACCATTTCTCTTTCCTTATATTCTTTTTTCTTTTCTATCTTCTATTTTTTGTCTCATTTCTGGATTTCTTAAGGGGAAATTACTATCTCATTAGTAGTTTATAGCAAACTCTTTGTACATAAAAATGTAATATATGTGGATACTTACCCCGTATAAATACTTATTATATATAAAATACATATATATATATATAATATAATAATAAAAATCAACGATCTTCAAATCTCACATGTAAAATCGCTTTTTTATAAGGATACCCCACTTATCTTTTACACACACATATGCAGCACGAAATAATTATTTTTATTTGAAAATAATTATAAAATTATGTATGTGAATGTGTGTATATATATAATATATAAAAATATTTTATAATTTGTACATAATTTGCTTTTGCATGCTTTGGTATATATATATATATATATGTTTTGATGCATCATTGTCGACAATATCATAAAAATTAAATCATAATAACAAAAATAATAATAAATTGTAAAGATAATTTTATTTTTTATTAACGATTTTATTGTAGTTTTAGATTTTTTAAATCAATTAAATAATTTATTAAATTTAAATTTAGTTTTCTTAATTCACTATGTCATATAAATTTTTATAAAAGATGAATAATTTTTTGTATATAAAAAAATCGATCTTTATTTGTTGCATGTAATAGAGTCGACCTATCAGCAACGTAGACAAGATGAGCAAGATTATTATACCCAGCTTTCAGGATGTTACTCAGGACAGTTCTCTTTTTGCGCGAAATTATAAATACGAAATGAGAAATAGACAATTCGTTATTATCCGAATTTTCAATATTTAATAAAAAAATTATATTTATGTAGAATGAAGATTGTGTGTGTGTGTGTTGGCTGCGTTAATAAAAAATTTATAATTTGCAAATATAATACTTACATGGAATATAATTACTTATATATATATGTATCTATAACAATTAATTAATAATTTATATTAATTATTAAATAGTTCAGAATCAGTTTTCAATTTTAATATAATATGTTTCTTGTTCGGTGTTAATTTTGATATTAAATAATTAATAATATTATTCTCCTTTTTAATTATCTTTATAAACAAATGTATGAAAAATTTGAATAATTGAAAAAAATCATACTCTTCGAAAACAGTAAAACTGTATCGCTTAATTGCATTATAAAAATTTCTTTTCTGAAGATATACATATATATGTCAGTACTTCAACATTAAATTAAAATAAACAAAATTGTTGATTTGTAAATTTTTTACAATATTAGTCTGTGCAAAGAATTTTTACACACTAGCGTGCATAAAGGAAATGTAACCAACAACAAATGTTAATCTCAGCAATCTTCATTCTTTCTCTCTCTTTTCATCATAAAATTTTCAAAGTGAAACAGGAGAAAATAATGAGGTAAACACTTGTAGGAATTATTCCGAAATGAGAAAAATAAATAGACGAAGCATTTTGCCTCGCAAGCTTAGATGATATCTTCGTTTCCTAGCAAAAATAATAGATACTTGGTGTAATAAATAAGGCTAAAACTTTTCTGTATTTACACGAAGTATTTGCATTATTTAAGACTGATTATATAACAAAATATACTAGGTATGTCGAATAATGAACGATAACTGGGAGAGGAAATTATCAATACATAAAAATTGGTTTTAATATAACGATGATAAGAATTATTGATCCTTTAGTATGTGTTAAACATGATAAAAATTATTAAATTATTAAAAATTACTCATGTCTTCTTGTAAATTTTATAATTGTATATGATAAACTTGTTGAAATGCAAAAAAGGGCCAAAGAATTGCATTTATATATACATACTGTTAAATATGCCATCTCTTTTATAATTTTGCGTATATATTTTTTACGATTTTTATATTGGCATAAGTTACTTTGTCTTATCGAAACTCATAGACATATTTCTATGTCTATGTCGAAACTTAAGATAGCATGAATAATTTCGTTTGTAGAATAAGCAAGATAATGGATGAAAAGTGACAACAAATTCTTTGTTTGTATGTATGTATATAAATGTATACACATACATGCGTGCAGATATCATTGAACTATTCGAAAATATTGCATGTTCTTTTTAGGACAAAGTTTTTACTAATTTGAGGAATCAATTTTTGTTTAGCGAAAATATCGAGAAAATTATCATTTATTGCAAGGTTCCTACACTTTTTCCGTTATTTATATTTGTAAATAATCTTTAAAAATTAAAAGATTTTTTAAATTGATTTTTTATTAACTTTATCTCGAAGTAACTGAAGAATATATAATTTTATGTTTCTAGCTCAAAAGTTCAGTTTGCGAAAAACTTTTCTTGTTTAATCATTTATTAAATAATTATTGATATCTTAACATTTTCGCTGAAGAAGAATGGACTTTAAGTTAGCCAAAAAATCTGTTAAAGAGTAAAAGGATATCTTGTGATTTTGGAACAACCTATATATATATTATAATTATGCAATATAATAAAATTGAAAATCAGGAATTAAAAAACAGAAAAATCAAAATTATTATTGAAAAATAATTCAATAATTAAATTGGTATAATAATTATATATAATTCTTCAAATTATAGATATCAGATTCGCCATTTTTTGCTTTACACATAGATATATGGGACAATTCGCAAAAATAACTTTCGTACTATATGTATATACATATACATATGTACACATACATATATATACATATATACATACATACATATATATATATATATATATATATATATATACACATACAATGACACATGCAACACGCGCTTCTCCACTCTTAAAAGAGTATATATATATATATATATATATATATATATGCACATACATACATATATATAGAATATAAAAACACGATGCACGCTGTGTGTGTAATATTTATATCATTCTAATTATACATAATGATGATAATAATAATCATAATAATAATGATAATAATAATTATGCAATGAAGGATATATTACAACAAAATATTATTCGTCACAAAAGCATAAAGATAGAAAGTTTTTCTCTCTCTCCTCATATACACATATACACGCATTTTCCTTTTTTCTTACACTCTCTCGATATTCTTTTTTTCTATATAACGACAATTATAACATATATTGTACAACACATTGGAGGAATGTGATGGCATCTCTGATGAGCACCATTCTGATTAGCGACTTCTTTTCGATCAATCTTAATTAGATCTTGGATTATTCCTATAAAAGGAGAAGAAAACGCCATCATATCTCTTTATCTCTCTAAGTGTAACATTTAAAGAATGAGAATAAATTTATGCATATATCATTGATTAACTTAAATAAAAAATAAAAATGTGTTGGTTACTTAATTAACAAAAAACAGAGATGCACATATTTTTATATTATATAATATATATTTCTCTTCTTTTTTTTAGTTTGTTTTATATAGATCTTTTTTTACCTAGGTTATATATTGTTATATAATTCGTTCTTTAGTTTTATACTTCCTTCCTTGTTAGACCTAAGTAAAAAAAATTATATTTTTTAATTATGTACAAGAATATAAATAAAGAATGTACAAACTTTTGTAGAGCCCGAGGAGAAAATTATATAATTTTAATATGATGTAATACACACCAACACACACACATACACATACAATATACATATACACACAACTATTAAATTATATTTTCGTGGATTATTAAATATTAATGAATAATAATAAATCCGGGATTTAATTATATTATTGCGCGATGGCACTTTATAAATTAAATTACAACGATTTGTTGTTTATCTTGTGTTTATGTTGTGTATATGTGTGTGTTTATTTATATAATATGTATAAACTTTTCGTCTCTCATATTTATATATTTATACATAGAATTTGTTTTGCTATCTTCTTCATTTCCTATGTGGAAAACTAGCCCTATATAACTTCCTATTCTGTATATAACGCAGCAACAATAATAACAATAGATAGGGTGGAGAGATTAAGTCTTTTTTATTTTTATTTTATCTTGTTTTTTGGTCCTGATTTTTTTAGTTCATCCACTTGCGACAATTGGGCGCGCCGCAGGCACATGCAATCTTATGTTGGTCATCTTCGATATCAAACTTGTAATCGTATGCCAACTGGAAGAAAAAATAAATAGATAAATATAACAATGTCGAAGATAATGGTTTACAATAAAAAATAAAAGAAAAGATTTAAAGTAAAAGACTTCGAATTAAAGAAATTAGTTTTAAAAGACTTTACCTCCTCGCCGCGTGAGATTCTGCGTTTGGCAAAAATGATAATTCTGAGATCGCGCTCGACTTCAACGATTTCAGCGACACAGTTGGGGTTGCAAGAATGATTGATGTATCGGGCGAGACCACCACACAATGTTGCATCTACCACTCGCTCTTCATCCAATCGAAACATATATATACCGCGATTCTGCAAGCAAATAATATTAAATAATAAATTAATAAGGATAGAAAAATAAATAAAAATAGGAAAATGAATAACACCTAGTAATAGAATAGAGAAAACAATTTTTATACACATGTTTATATGCACTCGTGTGCGCGCACACGTACACACACAAAATAGAAAAAAGATTAGAGAGAGAAAATATTATATTCTCAAAAAATTATTAGAGAAAATTCTTATTGCAAAAATTAGATGTCTTTAAAAAAATTAAATATTCTGTTAATAGCGATATATTTTTGAATAATATATACTAATATAAAAAATATATAATATGTAATAAGAGAGAATTAATAGAATATATAAAATTGCGATTAAGTTTTGACACTCACTCTAGCCTCATACTGCTTCTCTCTTGTCTCTGCCAGTTCTGTTCTAATGATCTCCCCAATATATTCGATCACCATCGTGTGCTTCTCTAGATCTCTCGCAGCGTACAATCCTAAACCTTGAATTTTTGATCTCGCCAAATAAACATTATTACGCCATTCTTGCTTCATTTTTTTGTATTGAGAGCTTTTAGAGTGTACAAATTGCTTGGAATATGGACAGGAAGCCGTCTCGCCGACCGCAGCAGCGGCCGCTACCAACGTCGAAGAAACCCCGCCGCCCATCGCGGCGGCAACGCTGCACGTTGACAAGCCGAATGGTACCCCGCGCGACGCAAATCCTCCTGTACGCTGCGTGTGCGGACGCTTCCATGGCAATTGGTTTCGTAGGCGCGCTTCTGTTCGCGCGCTTCCGGTCGGATTAATGGCCAGCGGTAACTCCAACAATGGGTTACGACCGTATTTAAATCTGAAAGAAGAGAAATGCTTTGCTATTATTTCTATCTATATTTAGGAAGATTGATGTTGTTCAAATTAATAGGAAAGGTCAGAGAATTTTTATCACACGAAAAAATTAAGATGAGAATCTAAAAGAACATCTGGAAACATTATCAAGACATGCAAAACTAACACTTTCCAGACAACAATTGGAAATACTAATTAATTAGCACAAAAACCATTTCAAAAATTTTAGTAAATATATCACTCGTTGTCAGATCTTCGTTATCTTGTATTGCTCTTCCATTATTTTAAATTTATCATGCATGCAAAGACTGAAAATATTATTTATTTTTTTATATGTACATTATCATTTTAAATTGGTTCTTTAAAGATTTGATAGTATTTTAAGGCTCCTGAAACTATATTTGAATTCTTATATTACAGAAAGCACAACCGAGAAATCACATAAATTTTTTTTCTTGCTACGATCAGGAGCTTTAATACAATCATACAAAAATTAAAAAAAGATGACAGAAAAGATAAATGTCCAAATTAAGGTAAACTAAAATCTTTAAAAACAGCCTATATTATATCAAATTAAGTTATCAATAAGTATTATCTTTCATTCTTATTTTAATAAAGAATAATTTAGAAATTATGGAACTATAGAATAAGAATAACTTAGAAATTATAATGCTATAAAAAATTAAGATCTAATTATGTATGATACCGTTCAATTAATCCAAAAATCATGCTCTTACCTGTAGTCAGTCAGAGTCTCAATTCCAGGCAAGCTCTCCAACACCCGTACCACTGTTGGTTCGGTCAGACCAAATAGATCCTCTCCCGAAACATATCTCGGAAACAATTGAACAGAATTCGTGCTTCTCCTCAATTCTGCAAGCGGCTCCAAAATTCGGCTCCAAACAGCTCGTGGAGTAGCATCTCTCAGTTCAACATCCTCCTGATGAGGTTCCTGGATTAGGACGCGAAATTCTGGACGACCGGAAACATCGTGGATCGAACAAACATAGCGACAACGTTTGTTGGCTCTGCGCATGCTCCAATAAAAGCGCACAATTTTGTAGCCCACTGGATAAATGTAGTTCGGCGTATGGAAATTCTGCAGTTGATGAGGAAGTAGTTGGCCGACGCTGAGGAAGATGAGGGAACCCACGCGAAGCAGATGATTATGCTCAGAATGGTGCATTACTGCGGCAACTTGACGATTTTCATCGCGATTAACGTAGACGCGACGATAGGCAGATAGCGTAATCAGTTCTTTGTCTTTTTCGTTTTTTAGAATGTGTTGGGGACAATACATGGTCTGGAAGAAGATGAAGGATCCTCATCAAAATCAATTTACCATATTCTTTCTCTCTTACGTTCTTATTCTTAAAAGATCGTGTCTTTAATATTCTTTAATATTCTTAATATCTTTTCCTATATTTTCTATATCTTTCCAATTGCTATATATTTGTCATCTGGTCATGCATGCATAGAATAATCGCGCGTATGATCAAAATAATATGTTCATAAATGTTACTTTTTTTAAGTTTTGTTACTTAGCTTCAGTCATGAATAGAGGTTCTATTATATAGTTGCTTATATTTAGAATATTATATAAGAAAGAAAGAAAATGTTGAATATAGAGAAAGTGAAAAAGAAAATTAAAAAAGATTGTAAGAAAATTTTATAGAGAGAAAATTAAGATACTAAAAATACTTTTAAATTAATAAATCTCTGTATGTATGTATGTATGTATGTTTGTATATATAAAGATATATTTCTTGTATGCAAACCTTATCCTGAGTATTGGAGGGTGTTCGAATGAGAGCAAATTGCATATAGCAAGCCGTCGAACAGAAGCAAAGTTCATCACCAGGTTCGGCTTCTTCTTTGCTGAAAAACGGTAGATCTGATACTTTCTTTCGGATCAGAAGATTGTTGAAGACCACGATATCGCAATGACGACAAAACTTTGTCGCACCATTCAAGATACTTTGTATATCGACTGGAGCTGGAAAATGAATCGATATATTTAAAAATGAATTAAATATATATATTTCTAGTATGTACGCGCGAGTCTCACACACACACACACACACACACACACACACACACACACACTAGAACTGCTCCTTTGTATCTATTTATTATTTATTTTATTTATGAGATCCTCTGATTTATATATTTTTTCCAAGATTATTTCTTTCATAATTTATAATAATTTTTTTTTTTTTATGAGGCAAATTGGAATCGATATTCTCTCATTCGATTCATATAAATTTTCTTAATAAACAGCTTGTAATGATAATCATTCTATTAATTACGTACCACCTTCTTTGCCATCTTTCCCTTTTGTTCTGTATAATCCTAGTTTCTGGCTAGGAGGAGTGGAAGTGCGTTCGACTATTTGATAGCCAGCAGGTGGTGCTATGTTCAAAATATTTGCAAGATCTTTGAGTACACCCATTATATCATCGGCAGCCTGACTATTTAGAGTTAAGGTCACGGTGACGTTTCCGTTTTCCCGTAAAGGAATCGGAGGAGATTTGCCAAGCCTAAAGAGAAATATATATGATGTCATAAATAATAATGTTCTAAATAATAATAAATAATATGACAATATGTAGAATATATGTATCATAATAATAAAAATAAATAAATATACATACTTGGGTATTCCAAAATTTTCCTTGTCTTGTTTAGCTGCATCTTTTGAGTAAGCAGGCTTCAGCCTGATTGGAATTGGTGAAATTAAAGGTATAACGGGTGATACGCGTTTTAGCCAATCCGCCTCGTCATCGGATTCTTCCTCGATCAATCGCAATCCGGGAAAATGATGCATAAATTCTGGTATAACACATTCAGGCGAGGATGAACTCACGATAGTATCAGGAGAATCTACATCGCGATTTGTCGCCATAGTCTCCTTCTTATCATCAGCTAAAAAAAAGTATCTTATTATAATATATATATCAAATCTCACATGTAAAATCGCTTTTTTATAAGGATACCCCACTTATCTTTTACACACACATATGCAGCACGAAATAATTATTTTTATTTGAAAATAATTATAAAATTATGTATGTGAATGTGTGTATATATATAATATATAAAAATATTTTATAATTTGTACATAATTTGCTTTTGCATGCTTTGGTATTACATTCATAAATGGATATATATATATCAACATATGTTGATAATATATTAATTCATTATTAACACATAATTAATTATTATTATTAATTATTTTAAGATTAAATCGAAATTTTATTATAATTAGCTTAATTTTTATTTGTTTTTGGTGGTTTCATAACCATCTTTATTTACTTTATTTTTTAACTTATATTTTAATTTATTTGTTTTTTTTAACTTGGTATATAATATGATTTTATAAATTAATTATAAATGCATGTTTGCATGTATTGGTAATTAATCGCT